AAAAATTCATTTTTCATAGAGTATAAAATCTAATTATATAATTTAATCAAATATTTTAAATAATTGAAGAGTTTTCAAGCATAATGCCAATAAACAACTTGCATTTTAAAGCGGCGCCACGCTAGTTTTGCTATATCAGAGGCTAACCAGTGACAAGTGCACGTGAGCTAGCGAGGAAACCTAGTGCATTTTTAACAGAAAAATGGACAAAGCAAAAGCAAAGGAAAAACTGTCTTTTTATTCAAAAGTGCGCTCCAGAGTTGAGACTCTTTCATCTCCAGCAGCACAGGCTCAGCCAAACCCACTACTGAAAGTTGGAAACCGGAGCTGGCGACCCTCCAAAGTTTTCGTTCTTGTTGATTCTTCATTGCCATTTTTGCATGCAGTCAATCAGGTATTTGTCTCAGACTGTATTTTGATCTGTGTTTCCATTTCTCTTGAGGCGTGGGATCGAATACGATTTCTGGGTCTCAATCTGATGACAAAAGGAACTCTGCTTGCCCATCTGATGGGTGTTTACGTTTTTTTTTTCTTTCTTTTCGAATCATTTTTCAAAAATAAAATAAAAAAGTAAGGAATAATTGTTTTTATAGGAAATCACTTTTATTATAATAATACTTTGATTTTTAGTTCTCCTTTTTATTGGTTCAAATCCATTTGATTCTTTTGTGCTACCTGCTCCCAGATTGATTCATTTGGCAATCAGGTAAATATATTCGAGGAGAATTGTGAGGAAGACAATCAAAATCGGGCAGATGTCGCTTCTCACGGGGAAGAATTGAGTTGCAGTAATGAATAATCAGTAGAAGGAGATGAGGAGAGGTTGCTTTTTCAAAAACTCAGTTGCTTTTGTACTCTTGGTGGTGTCCTTTTGCTGTTTCTTGGTGGTGATCATTTCAATGCTTAACGTTCCGGATGCAGCACTAGGCAATGCGGCAATGCCCTTCTACAAGAACATAAACATCCTTAAAGTCTCTGATAATGACGACTCACTCTCTGCATTTGGGAACATGATGATTCAGATGTTACCCCAAGATCTTGCTTTCACTGTTTTTATCCCTTCCGAAACAGCTTTTAGGCGCGACCTAAGGTTACGCAAGAATGACAGTTTGGTTGGAGAAAAGGTGAATGACACATACGCAGTGATCTCTCGCGTGTTGGGTTTCTCAGCTGTTCCTCGCATTCTGGATTCAGCTACGGTGCCTGCTGGTGGAGAGGTGTCTTATGATTCCTTGTCCGGGTTCACATTGTTCATATCAAAGGATGTAGGAGGAGTGCTGATGGTTAATGGAGTGAAGTCAGAGAGGGTTGATATAAGGAGAGGGAAGCATGTTGTGCATGTGATCGACGGTGTGATTATGGATGCTGAGTTTGAGCAGTCAGTTGAGCCCGATTTTGATGGAGATGATTGACATTAGTTTGTGGAGGAAGGCAAATAGCTATGATTGAAGTCTTCGCTCTTATACACTTTCTCAACTGAAATTTCATATGATGTATAAAGAATTCGGAGGATGATGCCTTGAAGGCTTTTTCCCCTTCTTTTCCCTTTCAATCTGCAATTTTGTGTAAGCATAGAAGAAAATGCAAGATTAAGAGCAGCAGTGAAATAGTTGCAAATCTTAGAGCCAAGGCCATTAAAACCCTTTAAAGTAAGAGGACGGATGATCCTCTGGAATCAATATATAAAGACTATTTCTTCTTCTTTTGAAGCTTTTTATGCTGCAATATGATTTCTTTTTTCAGGGTGTATCAATGCAGAATGCTCCCGTACAGATCCCAAAGTGGCCAAGGCAGGGAACAATAAGCAATTCACAAAACCCAATGTCTCTCCTTTTTCTTTAAAAAATAAATTAATTCTTTGAGGCTTAATGGTTAATATACAAAGCAAAATGTAAAACAAAAAACAATATTCAAACAGAACTTAAAGCTCCTAGCCTCTTTTAAAGTAAAACAGATGAGATATGTAAGGACTCCTAAAGGCTAAATTTAAAAAAAGAAAAATCACACTTTTATTACCAAAAACAAATGAAGAGTGAACTAGTTATTACACTCTGCTGTACACACTTTTCATCCTCAGTTGTACAATACAACCTAAATCGTCTGCATTTGCAAGCCCCTCAAATTGCTCTATTTAAATCAATTTTTTTAAATAAAGATTTGAAAATCAAAAACAAAACAAAAAACAAAAATGCAACCTCACAACAAACCTGTGACCATAAAAGAATACCAATTAGCTAACTCAACCAAAAATAAAGAGGGAAAAAGGAAGAATTGCTAGACATTCAAACAACCAGATGAGAAAAAATTGGTTGAAATCCAGATATTTGTCCATCAATGAAGAAACAAGCTTCTTGGGAGCAGAAGCAGCTAAAAATGCACTGACGCTGTCCCTTACACTCCTGAGAAAACGAGTTCTCCCACTGCAGCCGAAAGAAATAAGTGCAGTTAGAATTATTCACAAACTGTAATTTAAGAAAAGCAAACTTGTTGATGGAAAGAACGTGTACAGATTTGCAAGCAAGTCTTCTTCCACCTGCAGCCTCATTTGCAGGGGTCTAAAGAAAAGGCAGATGCGTCATGGAGACTTAGAACAGTTGAAGAGCCATTTTAAGCTTGTTCTGTTTCCACTTAGGCAACCTATAAAAGGCATCTTTCGTCATCCCAAACTTCTCCTTGAACTCCTCAGATGACAGGTAAGTCTACATGTGACAAATATAAAAATCTCAGAGAAGCAATCATCATATAAACCTTAAAAAAACCTAATAAGCTTTAACTAATACAACACCCATCTTAAAATTATACCTCTCGCTTGGTCACGTCTATTTCGGAAACAGGATCTGTTGATGTTACTTTAAGACGTTCATAAGGGTATACTGGAAGGCCTTCCTCATCTTCAGCCTCACCCTCTTGCACATCTTCTTGTATAGTCAGGGATTCTAGTCTGCTGCTCACAGAGTTCTCTTTAAGGTTAGGCTCTGGTGTTGATTTCGGTGCTGGTGGGCTCACTTCACCATGAGAGAAACATATTTCAATTTTGATAACAAATAAAAAATACACAAATTTTTCTCAAAACTCAAATAATAAAAAATGCATACCTTTCACAGATCTAGGTATGATAGTCTCTCGAGCTGACGGGGGTTGTTCGAAACTAGCAGTAAGAGCTGCTATAGCTGCAGACTTCGATGCCAGTTTCCCAGAATCTGGGGTCACAGATTTTGGATACAGTTTTCTAACCATTGGTGGTGGAGTAGAAAGGTTTCTAGCATTAGGGTTCTCAAATGTAGCTGCCAGTGCATTGAAAGCAGGAGACCTGCCCCTCACTCGAACTCGGTCAGGGCTGAAGGACATACTTCTGGAACGTTGTGATTTGTCTGGCACACTAGACCTTCCTCCATATGATACAGGTGCTCTTCGCTTAGGCTTCTAACCAAGCAATCAGATGTTAAATCAGAGAATTAATACTCAATAGGAGAGTTGAAGTATTGACAAGAACAAAAAAGTTAAACACACATGCATGAGTGTATCTTATCCATGGGTAGCTTCTAGTTTGGTCATTTATTTTGTTTGAACCCCCAAAAGAATTTGAACCCACCCATTTGTTCAAAATGTTTAACTAAACTTATAGAAAACAAAATGTTGCATCAAAATAACCATTAATTTTTTATTTGAGAGAATGATTAGATTTTTCTAAATTCATGAAAATATTATTATATTTGTAAAAAACAAAAATTATCCTACACACAAGCGATAGAGTTTTTAAGCTCCACAAACAGGTTTTAGAGTGTCGACACATGTCCCATTAGGTATACTTACTATAATTAATTAATTATTAAATAGATATATGACAACCATTTAACCCGCTTGTGGACTATAAAAACTCCACTGCCAGTATATAAAATAATAACCATTACAAAAAAAATGATAAAATATCTAATTAGTTTTACTGATCTATTAATTATTTATTATTTTTTAAAATAGGTCAAACAAATCTGCACATAGCACTCATGAATTAACTAGTATCAAGTAAAACAAAGTATTTTAAGGTTCCAACGCTCCAAACAGGGTTCAATGTAAAATGAGGTTGAAAATCAAGCTTTGACAAATAGATTTGTGTACGAGTTTAACATCAGTATACCTCTAAACTGACAAACCAATTTCAGACTAGGTTGGTTGTGAGGACTAAGAACTGCTTATGTTTGCCTCCCAGCCTACAAACTAAAACCTAAGGCTGGCAATTCCCGTTAGCAGGTTGTAATCTTCTCGTGTCAAGGTAAAATATAATAGATAAATGAGTCAACACGAACATGACATGATTAATTAATCATGTCAAGGTCCTTGACACGAACACAACACGTTTATTACATGAGTTATATGACATGACACAGATAACACGTTTATATAATTTGATTAATTTGTTTAGACACAAAATAATTAACTTATTTAGCACGAGTAACCTGTTTAAACACAAATAATAAGTTATTTTATGTCCTTTAATTAATAATTCAATAAATAGGTTTAAACAAGTTAGAAATGTTATGTGATTGAGCTATCAATACTATTATTTAAATGTACCTTAACAGGTTAGGTGGGTCAACCTTCATTAGACACAAATTTCATGGCATAAACAGGTTGACACAATTATAATATGAACATTATCATTTAAAACCCAAACCCAATGAACTCCTTGTCGTGTTAACGAGTTGTGTTCAAAATTAGGGGTCTACTAAAATCATCTAACAGCTTTTTTTTAAATAAAAAAAAAACATTGAACAACTATTCCACTTACTCATCCCTTTCAATTCAATGTCTTGTTCTTTAAAACCCTGACCCAAATTTCGACTCATATGCACCCTCATTAATTGTGAATGTTGAACTCTTTTTTGCTTCAGAGTATATTGAACCTTGTATCACCACTAAACACAAAATACGATCAATGAGTGCAAAAGCATCATATGAATCAAACCAATAGTTATTCGATTTCCATCATTCTCGCTTCTAATTTTTAAGGAGATAAGGATATGCACCAATCATTAATACCTTCAACTTTCTGTTCAATTAAACTTCGTGACATTCAAATGAAAGCATTTTTCACATCAGAGAGCCAAACACCAAACTGAAAAAGGAACTATAGAAAATCATCCAAATTTTGAGATGAAAGGAATTTTAAGAATCACTACCAGATACCTCTTAGATTCTATGTTTCCTTTTTCTTTCTACTGACTATATTTTGGTTTGAGTAAGTGCCTAACCTTCTCTAATGATTATAAAGACATAGTTTCAGACATATCTATTGCACTCTATTGTACAGTGATGAATGAAGCTAGACAAATCCCACCAAAATCTCACCATATCTGCCCACACTACTTACAATGAAAACTTCATTGTACTGGTCTCTCATTTTGCACTCAGATATTTGCATATCTAGGTTAATGATACAATGCTGCAAAAAAACAGTGGGGCAAAAACCTATCTGGTAAAATATTGGAAATTTATCCTATCTACTCATGATGCCGCCACAACCACATAGCAGAATAATCACTTTCAAACATAGATCTTCATTCTTCAATTAATGTTCCTGCCGCATTTGGACACAAGTATTTACTGAATCTGTTTCAATTACTACCATTTCTACTATTGTCTTTCCTATCAAGAAAAGCCTTGTTTCCTGCACTCCTACGTATAAACAATCACACTTCTCACATTTTTTACTAAATACTACCAATACTGATTGCACTCATTTCTTTGTAAACACATATCGGCCTGAGTTATCCAGATATCATGTCCACTCCATTGGCTATTAATTTAGAATGAAAACTTTGATCTAAGCCTGGGATGCAGGATGGCAATAAGCAGTTGTTATACTGGCGAGCATGGCCACTTATGGTTAATCTCCATATCCCACCACTACTTTTCTAGCAAGTCAGAGGAAAGAGCTCTTTTCCCCTTTTCCTCACACCCCCTTCTCCCTTTTTAACTCTTTTTAAATGTAGCAACTGTTGCGAAGTTGCCAAAACACCAAATCCGTTCTCCTTACCATTGCATACATGCTAGTACGAGAAAAAGAAATTCCTCTACAAAACCCAAAGTACAAAGTTCGCTTTCATGGTTGCTTATAAACAAAGGGAATATAGTTGCTTAGTATTATTGGCACTCTCACTACCTAACAAATTACAGTTAAAACAATGATTTGGTCAATCTGAAGCAGAGAAAGAGAGAGAAGTGTAGAAGAGTGCATATCGCATTGCCAGTATATTTACCACAGCTACAGCTATTATATAGCAGACAATGTCAAGAAGGCAATTAGAAGTAATAATTTCTAGAAGCTACTACCCTTGTGAAACCCCAATATCAGCATTTTAACTTCCACGTGCAAGACAACTAACCTGACCACCCCTCTCTTATCCTATGGAAATGGAAGTGGGAAGAAGGAATATTATCAAGAAAGAAGCATCCGCCTTTTTTTAATAAAGAATAATAAAAAGAACATCAAACATGTGCCAAACATATGACAGATAGACCATGTTAGTGGTGATCTTGCAATATTTATTCTTTCTGAACATACCATGTTATGGACTGTTATTGTTTTACAGAGAATAATTTAAAGAAAGGCTCCTTGGAACTTCCAATTCTTGACAAATGTTCCAAGTCTCTCTGATTATAGCTGTATGACCAAGGTGATGCATGGTTAATGAAACATAAGCAGTCATCTCAGATGAGAAAAGTCCAAAGAGAACCATTCCTTTTTAAGCAAGAGGTGTAGTTCTTTGGCAGACATAAAATGTAACCAAGAGTTCCTTTCTATGTTGAAAATTAACATGTCAGACTTAATGCAAAATACATTCAATATCAATAGCCAAGAAGAAATGATGCATCATATGTACAGCTTAGGGCTTGGATAGTGATCGATCAATATCAAGAGCAGAGAAAATTCAACTAATCTGAAAAGAGTAAAAAGAAGTCTTACATCCATAACTGGTGTACCCCCATTTTTCACTATGGTAAGTTTCCTTTGAAATGAGTTTCCGTGCATCTGCATGCAAATAAAAACACTAAGAGCCCTGCGAAGATAAAACAACCATGACGACTATGCATGCAAGCAAAGATACTCACTGTAAACTTTGCAGAGTCCCATGAGAAGAAACGTGTGAAGAAGGGCGGCTCACTCCCTTCCATGACTATGTATATTGAAGTTTCATGGGACATACTTTCTAAGAGAAAATCATGCTCAAGAAATTTCTGCACAACAAGAGAAGGAAAGGTAAGAACACACCTGGCAAAACACACAAGAAACTATTACCAATTCTTTGCAGGTATTTTTCCCTCTAATTACTGGGGAGGAGTTTTATGACTTAAAGAAATGCAGTGGCACTCAACATCCATGATTTGTCTATGAGAGTAAAAATAATATCCTTGAAAAAGAGAATGCAACTATACTTTTCACCTTCCATGCAACCAGTTGATCTTACCTCACCGATAGTTAGGGCCTGCAATTTAGTCTTGGTATCAACCTGTTGCCCAACCCAGACAAAGATATCTGAGTGACAATCTAGAATGAATATATCTTCAGTCATTAAATCATCCTGGGTGAAGTTATATATCTCCATCACCTGCAATGAAACTTCAGTTCAAAATCATGGTACAGATAAACAACAAGCAGGTACAATAATGTTTTTTTCTTATGTTAGAAGTTTTCCTCCAATATAATGTCAATAAATTCAAAGCAGCAGTATATTACATAATGCTGCAATATAATAAAAATAAGTGCACTTAACAAGAATGAGCTGTTCTAGCATGACTTGTAAATGGATGGAACACATAAGTAACAAAGAGATTTGATAAAATGGTTACATTACCAGAATCAACACACATGAAATTAAAAACTCTAACCACGTCAGCCATTGTCTATACTATGGGATTGGAAAGTAGCTGAAAGATATATACACACCTTCAGATTCCCTGCAGTCGGGGTTGCAGTTTGCAGATAACCATGAAAATGAACAAAGAGAAGTAATTAGAAATTTACAATTACAAATTAACATTTTACATTTCTAGAATCAAGAGACCAGAAATAAACTTTATAAACACCAGGGAGAGTTATCAATACCTTTTGAAAATGTGCAAGAGAATAGGTGAGGATCACCTTCGGGTTCCCTTGAAATCTTTTGGCTTGGGTATTCAGATTTTCCTCCTAGCAACTCCCAAAACAGTTCAGATTCTGATCCTTCCTTTTGTGGCTTGCATTGTAAATTAGGCTGGAGATCATCAAAAGGGAATTGTAAACAAAAAAAAAAAGGAGCACCAACCAATTAGACATAAACATAAATAGAAACTTAAAGATCCAAATTGAAAACTCAAATACCTAAATCTAAAGTGATTCACAATATTCAATACAAATAAATGCAACCAACATACTTAGCCATACTATTCTGTCAAGCCTAAATCAAGTTCTGAGAAGGAAGTTGCTTAAAAATAAAATCAAACCTTTATGAGATCTAGCTGTCTCTCAATAAGCTCCTGATCATCAGGGGAAGTTAAGTTTCCAGCCCATGTAAAGACAGTGGAACCACTATGTAATATGTAACAGTAGGACGAGTTCAAAGATGATGCGACCTGATAGAAGTTAAATAAAAATGAAGTGAAGAGAGCTTAAGTTCCAACCTATACACAAAATAAATGTACTCCAGAACAAATTGAATTCATAATTAAAATTATAGATGCAACCGTTAAAACAAATAGGATTTGATCCCCAAGGAAAGGCTAAGATTAATTCGAGGACTTCTATGGTAGTCTCATGGTTTAAGTTAAATGAGTGTGAAAACCCTAAGGGAGGTCCAAGGAAAAGATTGAGTATTACACAACATTCATCAAAAAGAACTGTAACCTTATTTGCAAGCAACAAAGTTTTTACGTGGAGTTCCAACTCTTTTTAAGCTAACCTTTAGCAGACTAATGTAGCATTACCTGTAAGCAGCATCACATCACCATCTGACTTATACTAGCTTTTTCCTTCTACTTTTCACCTCAAGTACTCAATTTCCCAGCAATTAATAAAATCACATGGGGAATGGTTTGCTCAATTTATCTCATCTACCCTTCGCATTATGTTGCTTTTGTTTTCCCAGGTGAATTATGCACGTAAATCACATTGGAATGCCATAGATCAAAGACATGAAAATGGCAGATCATGGTCCAGTCACTTGTGCAAGTTCGAATGCAACAAAAATGAGTACCGGACCATAATCAAGAGGAAATGTTACACCTTTTCCCACAAAACATTAGTTCTATCAGGATCATACTTGTTACTGAGTTCTGGAGGACACAAATATAGTAGATATAAACATGGACATACTGCTTCAACTTGTATGGCTTGCATATTTTCAGGTCCAGAACCCTGTACTCGAAACAGTGCAACACCATCTTCTGTGTATGTCCCATCTGGGATTTCCTTCTCCGCAATATAATTCTTGTATCCATCACTATGACCACCCTGATGAATTTTACATTATTGAACCAGTCATCTACAGAAATATAAGTACAGGTATCCATTGATGGAAATAAAGTTTATGAACTAAAATTCCTCAAACCTTGAACACAATAAAGCTCTGGAAGATTGAGAAGAATTGAATAGGTTCGCTTCCTTCATGGATGCAAGCCTGATAATCAGTCAAAAGATACAATCAGAAGCAAATTAAATATGTATAAAATTCATAGCTTCAGCAATAGAACGACAGTGCCTGAGGTAAAAGAAAATTACTTGGGCAGCCAGGAACTTCATCGATTCAACCATTTTGCTTGCCAAAGAGACAGCAGAAACTCTTTCTTCCTGTTGAGGGAAATTGCATAATTAGTAAAATAAGAACAGTAATAAAAGCATTGTAAGAAAAGGTAGCACGATAAATACACAAGTACACGCAGATATAAAATAGGTATAGAAGGAAAATGCACATGCGTGTTACATACATGATATACTGATACAGAATCACACAAGAAGATGCCTATAAAGAACGCCACCCAATGAAAGACAAAAAGTTAGAAACAAATAACTTCACATGCACAAGCCTCAAGCAGAATGCTGAACATTAGGCAAACAAACAACCACAAATGGTTAACCTTCTTTTCTAAAGCTAATTCCAATTACAGTGACTTTTCTTCACAATTGTTCAACAAGTATAAATGGACTCTACCTTAAGATAAAGTATACTGATCAAATTTAGCCAATATAAACAAGTTTCTCCATGAATACATCATGAATCACACTCATACGCATGGAAAATGTTGTAATAGATCTTTATCACAATACCATAGTATAGAGATGGAAAAAGTTCAACATACTAAAAAGCCAACCCTATCCAATCCAAATTTACTCTAAAAGACAGCCACCCAAACCTGGTCAATTCAAATAACACAAATCTAAATGGCGTAGAAAAAAACTCGATTGCTATGTAGCAAAGAAAATGTGGCAAAACCAAACCAACAAAACAAAATTGCCACCTTTACTATAGTACACATACTATTCAGCAGAATTGCCAAGAACTGACTTGCAAAAGATTATATTCCAACATGCAGACATTAGACTAATGATTTTACATATTTATAATTAAAAAATGTATAAGACTCGAGATAATTGTGAAGACAAATGATTAAAATCCCAAACAGGGAACTAGCTCGATCATCTTCCATTTTAATTTTCCATAAATTCTTGGTACTCATATGTGGAAAGCAGCAAGTTAATATCATCTGAGGTGCTAATAATAGAAAAATAAAGAGTGCCTTAAAGCTGATAAAACGCTAATACATAAGCACTTGGATTCAAATCTTTAAATAGAACTATTCTACATTGCTAAAGAGTGTTTTTCTGGTCCATCATCATCTGTAGAGGCATGAACAGGTGAAAGTCATAATACAGGGAAAGGGAAATAAAGCAAGCAGTAGCCGAAACAGAATGGTGATCTCTAAAGTAATCTTCCAATATATCTCAAAGCAAAAGTTCAGTCATTTCCTACTCTCAATGGTAGTTCATGAAGATAGGCGGAGAAATTATGCTGAAAGCATTATGGCACTCAACAATTTTCGGAACTGAGGGACCAAAAAAAGTTAAAGAATGCTTAATCACCTCAACACTCTGCTTCCCAAACCATGTTCCTATAAGATATTCTTCTTTGTCTTCTCCAGGATAGGAATACTGAAAAATATAGCAGTCTCCACTGTAAAATTTTGACTGATCAGCAGCTGGAAGGAGAACTTTTTCCTGGCCATTCACACGCCAAACCTGTGCAGCCAGGACAACACTGTCATCAGTTAGCTGGTATCAAGCTCATGGTCAATATGCTACATCTACATTATGTCCATAGGATGAAGGAAAGAAAAGCAACATTACCGATCAATCCAATCATAGATGGCATATTATTGCCCACTGAATGCATCTCCAAAATACTTATAGAGCATTGCAGCCAAAAACAAAACTTCAATTGTCCAGAAAATAATCGTAGGTACTATAGTTTTCCTTTTTCTCATTTTTCTTTGGGTGTGTCTACATGTATGTATATGATGCTACCCAAGCACTTCCTTATTATGCTGGGTGAGGCTTGGCCTTTGACTCTGCTTGCCTCAACTTTTCATTTCAGGCATACAAGTGTGTTCAGTGGGATTTATATTTCATCTACGTAAACAGGGATTTTTAATCATCTGCCAAACTAAAAACTAGTATGTATAATTGCTGAGAGTTTCCATAAAATACTTTTTAAATGTAGTACAACATATATACATATATTGTATAATCTAACATTTGAAATTTGAATACTTTTTACGCATAAAAAGTAATTTATAATTTGCTATGTAATTACCTTACTATTCAAATTTAGTATGTTCAGTTCTACTTTTACTTTTACTTTAATTATATTAAAATACTATATTACTTTTATCTCAGCTGCACCCCTCCCCCCACAAGCCAAAATTTGTAGCTCCACCACCGTCTGTGGGAGCAAGGCTATAAGGGATCTAGATCATACAAAGATTCAGCACACAGATAAATATCCATACACAAGTAAGTACAAATATACCTGCAAATTTCCTGTGCAATCAATATATGGTTGGGGTTCTTCCTTCACCGGAGCAGCTTTTAAAAGACCCCTGACATTCACCCCCTGGCGTTGTAAAAGAGCTGCAACACCATTGATTATATATTAATGATAGTTTTTCAAGTTAACAATGGCAATGATGATTATTTGATGGCTAAAACAGTAAAATCTCAAGCCAGGACAATTCATCCTGCAAAGACAACAATACTGCAAGATATTTCAGTCACTGACCAGCAACTTTGCCTCTGCCATCCTCAGAGACAGCTACATTCGTGGCCAAAGGCCAGGACTCAAACTTAGACCGAAACATAACAGTCTCAAATCCCTCAATTACACGAATTATGTGGGATTTCACTCGATCAGAAGCACGGATTAATTCCTGTTCAGTGACATCAAGAATGATAAAAGAAGTAAATGAGAAATCCATATAAAAATAAATCTAAATCACATTAGAAAGGAATTGATATTACCTCCGCTGCTCCACTTGCACTCTTTCTTTCATCAAGAGCAGTGCTTCTTCCCATCCATACAAAGACTTCTAACCCACAATCCAAAATATAGCATTTATTTGTGTCCATCAACTCTCTTGTCAGGGAATCAGCCTCAACAGGCACTGCCTGCCCCTTCTCAACACTTGAAAAGCAATCACAACCCAGTGAGAACATTTTTCAAATTACAAATTATAGTATGACAAGAAAAAACTTTCTTTCACCAAATGCAAAAGCATTTTGATTTCCACTCAGGTAAATTATTGGTCAATTTAGAGAAAGAAAAATTGCATTCGTGGAGGTAATCAACTCAACATTGATCGACCACCACCACAACTACCAAACCCTAGACAAAATTTTACCTTAGTAACTTGGTTGGATGAGAACCAACAGTCTTGTCCTCCTCACTAGTAGTCTTCCTTGGAAGTGGAGCAAAGCCACCAAAGAATCCCCAAAATTCTCCAGTTTCAGCATCAGCCATCAACTTTCCATCTTCTGCATATTGTAATTAGACTGAAATCATTAATTTATATTCAAATATTCAATTATCCACTTCTCACGCCATTCATCTTATTCTTTTCTTTCTTTGTGATCACAATATGTTAGTTTACTCACCAATGGCAGCCACTTCACATTTTCCATCATGATAAGTATCTTTAATATATTGGACAACTTCTAGAGCTTTTGCCCTCTCTTGAATGGATGAATTGGAACCATTAAATTGAAAAATTTTAGCCTTGGTATCCAGTACAAAGATGTCATCATGGTTGAGTGAGGATCGAGCAAAAGGAACCTGCCGCAACACATTATGAAATTCACAAAGGAAAAGGATTTAATCATGCTCAAGAATTGAGAATAATCAATCCTAGAAGATCACTGAGGTCCAAAAACTTGCCTCTTTTACATGGACAACATGTTTTCCTCTACACACAAACAAACGTGTCTTATGTTCCTCTTCCTCAACATGTTTGAATCCAGATGCAACCCCACCTTCTTGGGGTATGATGCAAGGCTTAAAATAGGAAAGAAACTTCTCAGTTTCATGGCCCTGTACTTCACGATATTGAACAGCACGCCCTCCAAGAGCAGCATCAAGTTCAACAGTCTTGACTGCAGCAGCACCTGCTTCATCCTATGTTAAACGAGTTGTGGTCACAAAATCGGTCTAAAGTTTTTTAGTTCCAAACGTAATCTATTACTTGCTGAATGTTAGAGTTCAACAAGAAATAGAAATTTGCGGAAACAAGGTTTACCTGGGTTGTATTTTTACCAAGCCAATAGTGGATATCATGGCGTAAGGCACCACTTTTTAAGGCAGTTGTCTGCACCAAAAAATAGTATATTAAAGAACAATAATTGGAAAATGAAGACTTAAGTGCATACCTTAAACCAGAAGTAGAATCTAGTAGATATTAGTAGTCAATCCAATGGAAATGACAAGACAGCATCAGCCAAATTCTAAAGACCTGGCAAAGTTTATCATCAAAGCCTCTAACAGACTCTTTTCTCCATTAACATGGAATTTTAGCAGTCGCAATAAAAAAAAAACATTATTAAGGCTACAAGCTTCAAACCATCTTCACTGCCAAGTTTTGGTGCCGAGTGCCAACAAAAACATGCAACATGTAAGAAATACAATTTGATACCCCCAACAAAATAACTTGCCTTCAAAATAACATAGGAATCCCCTGTGAAAAATTTTCCATAAGATGACTTTGGAACAGGAACAGGGCGGAAGTTTTCAATGCGCCAGATTTCAATTCCACTGCACACAGTTAAGGAGAATAGTTCATGCAGAAGCACAACTAATAACCAGACATATCCAAGATTAAAACGGCAGGAGATGTGATAGTTATTGGCTTTCTCTAAATTTTTCATCCTAGACTCAACGTACAACCTAAATTTACTAGGAAAAATGATACTTTCAGACTATTGATCTAAAGAATGGTAAATAATCATGATGATGATCCACAAAGTGGCTCAAACTTTCCAAAAGTGAAGGATACGCTTTTTGCCCAGCTCCTTGGAAAGCTGAATCTAAATCTCTCATGGAAACAGACATACTGTTTATGCAGCTTTATTGTTTTGATCTTCTAGGTCTTAAGCTGGAGGAAACAACAGATATAACCTGAGACATAATTGGCACCATTAAGTGAGTATGAAATAGATATATAAATTACAGCAGGAAGAGAATCTAAAGAAAAGAAGAGATGACGCTTGCTCAAAACACCTTTTTATGATATGCTGTTGAAAAAGTGATCCAACTTATTAATCAAAAATCATATAAGGAGATAATAACATCAAGATTATACCTCATTCCTGATGATTTTGGAAGTAAAAATTTTAGTAACAAAATATCTCACCACATCCGATCTTGATACATATGACTTGGACATAATTTTCAAAGCAAAATTCTGAGAACCACTTAAATTTGGAACTGTATTTATTGCTCATTAAGTACAAGAATCTCCTGTATTATACTCTACGAAGCACATGCTTACTTCTAAGCAATCTATTATTGTTTTGCACTTTCACATCAAACACTTTATCAACATTAACAGAAACCACCTGCATCTCTTATTTGGTTGCATTGTTCACTTCTTTCCAGGTGAACTTGCCAGCTACGGATGAGATTGTAGTTTGATTTTCATTTTCCATGTGATTAATAAGCATGTATGCCTGTTTCTCTTAATCAGCTCTCTTTGAAATTAGTCCCATTTCAAACTGTAGAACAAATTTTAGCTGGCTATACAAGACCATCGACTAAAAGACAATTTTAAAACTGCATACAGGTCACCCAAATAGATCAGCTAAGACCAAGTTTAGGCTCCCAAGAGTTCCCACTAGACCACTATCTTATCTTTATCCTTTTCAGCTAATCCCATGAAAGCAAACTATTCGTTTGCATGTCCTACTAGTGCCATCTTCGAGATACCCAGAAAAGATTTATCCAATTTGGAAATCCAAGATTCTAACGCTGTGTTTTAGATTTGAAGTTTCCCACATATCGAAATTCAATGTCATGAGGGTGAGAAAAACACCATAAGTTATTGAAATTCATATCGGAGGAACAAAAACAAAGCAAAATCATGCTCCCTAAAAACTGGTCTACTTGGCAAAAATCAGGCGAAAGTAAAATGAAGTTAATTCATCAAAGATGAGCTAAACATTTAAATCCCAACACACCACTAACCAATCAGATCAAATCCTTACCAACCAAAAACAAAAGCACACCACAAAATAACCCACAAACATAAAAAAAATGTTCAAACTTCACAAAGCTCAACAATCCAGAAAAGACATTCTTTAAGCTATATATCTTCTTGAATTTAGCAAATGGAACATTAATTCAAAATAACCCAGATACCAAAAATCCAAATATAAATAAATAAAAATATGATCAAAAAATACCTGGTTTTGAAGAGGATAATCTGGAAACAAAGCAGAACCCAGATCCAAAAAATTGAAGAAAAAATAGAGAAAAATAACAGGAGAGTGTTTTAAGAGTGAAAAGCTGAGTGAGAAGAAGAAGAAAAAGCGAAACACAAAAAGAGAGAATTGGAATAGAAATTCTAGAGAGAGAGAGAGAAAGCATGAGTTGTAGAAAGAGAAAAGTTGGAGAGAGAAAGAGAGAAAGGGAAGGGAGGTAAGGGAGTTGGAGGGAATGATGATTGCCAGGCGTGCCTATCACTAACGGCAACAAAAAAAGGCCACACCCCACACCCAAAGAAACTCAAAATGAACTGTAAAATCTCATTAATAATTAATTAATAAACCTTATTTATACAGAACCCAGAAAAATATAAAACCATGATTATTAATAATGCAGGTAGATATATTTAAAGATCAATCAAGCACAGTGAAAAAGAAAGTTGAAAATTTTGGGATGATGGGATTTGGTACTTGATTCCTTTTGTCATCAACAGGTAAAAACTTGTTGCTGCATTCCTGCTTCTTCTTCTTGGATCTTTCATAATAATCGTTTTACTTGTTTTATTTAAGTTTTGGGGTCTGATTTGCTTTAGATACAATTGGGAGGAGTTACAGGTACAGTTTCAGTCATAATTATTACAAAATGGGTTATCAATGGAAAGTATAATCAATAATTAACAGTAGAAAGCTGAATTAAAAAAAATAAACATTAAAAATGGAAAGAAAGTGGTCTAAAAGAGATTAAAAAGAGTAATTACCTTTCTCTATGGCTTTTTAATTGTTTTACAGATAGAATTTGTTGTTGTTGTGGTCGACGATGACGATCTCAGAATCTTTGTGTTTTGTAAGAACATGGGTATATCTCTTTTTTATATATATAATTAGATGAATTTTTTTTTTAATTTTGTATGTTATTGCAGAATTTGATTGAATAAAAAAATAATTAGACAAAAAAATTGAAAGGGAAGGTCCGAGAAAGACTAGAGTTTAATGGTTAAGGCTGATGGAGAGAGAAAGGTGAGTTCCGCTTTGTTAGGATTGATAGTGGAAAATAAGGAAATGGTCGGTCACCGGCCATGATTCATGCATCGCCAATTTGCACATAAAAAGTTGAGGTGGGGCTTGACGTTAGGCCCTTCTTTTCTCCTTCGGCTTACGCCTTGCCCTTGCTGCTGCTCCTCTTCTCCATTAACCTTTTTACCTACTAACTGGCCTCACAGCTTCATTTTCCATTTCTTAATTATTCTTTTCTGTTAAACTTCGCAAACTATTTTATTTTACAATAATAATCAAATAATCGTCTATAAATTAGCTTACAGCTGAAAAATCCAACACAAATTTAGAATTGTATCTCCTTATAATTAACTTCATCGATAAAAATTATATGATGTCATAATTATAATTTGAATGAGACCTCCAATGGTTACAATTTGACATTTTATTTTAGAGCCTTTAAATTCGAATTATAAAATAGATAAAATGAAATTTATAAGATGAAGAACAATTTACTTTTTATTACATGATTCAAATTATCATGTGTAAAAAAAATTAAAAATGTTGGTAATGAGGTTGTCTTTTCCCTTACTTTTCTCATTAGAGAAAAAAAAATAATAAACGTTATTTATGTTCTTTTTTTAAGATAAATTACAGGAATGGTTACAATATGTTTAAAAAATTTTCGTTTTGGTTACTAAATTTTAATTTATTCTAATTAAGTCACTTGAATTTGTCGATTATATCAAATCTGAACATCTTAACAGATTTCAATCCACCGAGTGATAGTCTAATGACATAAATTGCCATATCAATCAAAACTAAAAATCGTTGATTTTTAATATATCTTTTTCATCTGAAGATCAACCAAAATGGGAATTTTGTAAAATCTTATTCATTATTCATGTAATTTAATTTTTATACCTTTCTATTGAGGAATATTCTGTTTTATATTATTTAAGAGAACAGAAGGGCATAATAGTAATTAAAACTGCTGTTTTACGAATTTAAAATGCTGATGACGTCAAAGTAAGATTCAACCGTGGACAAAAAAACAAGAAATGGTCTAATACAGTCTATTCTACCGCCGTCATGTTGGTCCAAGCCCCGCCGCCAACCTAAGCCAGGGTGGCCAAAGACTAAACTTGGTATTTAATTGTAATTAGTATTGTTGCTTTTCTACTAAGCAAATATTTAGGATTTCTTTAGACCTCATTTACTTTATTATATTTTCTATTCTTTGTTGCCTTAAATTAATTTAAAATTGTTAAAAATAAAATAAGATAATACTTAAAAAAATTTATAAATTATTTAAGAAAATTTGAATAAATTTTTATTTTTTATTATATTCAATTAAACTTTTATATTTTTATTTTAAACTAAATAAATTTTTATATTTGTGTTAATCAATTAAGATTAATCTGTATTCATTAAAGCTCTTTTTTCTTTGCTTGTTTAATTAATTAACCCATCTTGCAGCTAAATAAACATCTTGACTTACTTTCAAACATCAAATATATTAATGAATTTAAACTTTCTCCTGCACACTTAAATAATATAATTAGACACTAATAAATGAGAATGTTTTGTTATTATAAAAAATATATAGAATCAACATTCTCGTTCTTATTTTTCATGACAACAAAACACTTCTAGATTAAGAGTGCAATGAGTTGCTCTCCCTTAATTAATACATCTAGTTTTCTTTAAAGATTTATAATAAAATATTTATAATATCCATAGCAGCTAAACAAGATATACAATATCTACAGTAACTAAGTAAGATATATTGAATATCTATAATAACTAGCACATGATATTCAATAAAACCATAACTAAACATCACACACATAAATTAAACATAAAGTTTATAAAACTTTATTTAACATAGTTTTCCTTCTCTCCATTTTAGTTATTGTTAAAATAGATATGCAAAACTTCCTATTAATGAGTGCATCTAGATTTTCCTTTAATTTTCATGTCGGACTTTAATGAATGAGAATCATAAGTACTCATACACCTAAGTCATACAAACTTATAGATATAGTTCAATAACTTCAAGAGTCAAGCTTGTAACTATATAAAAATGAATATATAAGAGTTAAATCATTTCAAAAACTTGTCAAAGATCAATCAAATAATATTCAAGAAACTTTGATCATTTTGTCATAATCAAAACTATAATAATTTTAAAGCTAACATCATGGGTAATCCTTCTCCATGTGTAATCATATTCCTAAACCTAACTCTTAAAAATTCACGAATCAATTTATTGTTCTTTAGACAGACCTAAAATCAATTTAGAACTCCATCAAATATAACAAATTTAATATGTGGCCAATCTCACCTAAATAAAAAAATATTAATGGTGACTCCCTAAAATTTTTCAGGGGTGACTCCTTAAAATTTTTCCAAGTCTAATGATCCAGTTTCCGGACCTACACATTAAGACAATTGTGCCACAAGAGTTGGAGATTTTGAAAAATTTTCAATACAAAGTATTTAGATAAATATTAATAATATAAATAATAAAAATGATAAAAACAAAGAAAACGAAGGAATAAAAACATAAAAACACAAATAAATAAAAATTCTCCAATGATGGAACTTTGAGAATGCTATAAGAGATAACTTCTTGAAATTCCCAAGTGAGAAAATCTTTTAAAATTTTGCCATAAGAGTTGGAGATTTTGACAAATTTTCAATATCAAAGAAATTTTATTTGTTTCAAAGAAAACTAAAATAAAATAAACTACCAAAGACAATGAAAATAAGAAAATAGAAAATAGGTAAAGGAACTAAAATTGAATATTGAACTAAAATAAATTTAGTAAGGCTAAAAAATAGTACATGATTAATTAGGTATAAATTTAAATGGGTGCTATGAAGGTGCTAATACCTTCCTCACATGTAACTGAACTCCTGAACTTAGTGTGTTTTGTAGATCAGAACCTATCAGTTTTAATAAACTTAAGTTAAGCCTAAGGCCTCATTAGAAAAATTAGATTCACCTAGGTGGTCAATTGCATCTAATTAAAAAAACTAATGGCGACTTTCCTTTTACGTAGAACAATTGAGTTTCAAGAATCACATGTTATAACAGCGCCAAAGAATTACAGACCATTTTCCAATGGAAAGGATTTTGTCGATAAATTTCGTTGGTATTTAGCCAATATTTTGTTGGCAAGTTGCATATCACAATTTGGTCGAAAATCGATCGATAATTTATCAGCAATTACCTATAATTGTAACACACCCTACAATTGGCAAGCAACAATGAAAACAAGATTATTGTTGGGGCATGCTACCCAAAGTTTAGGGTTTGTAAATTGGGTTTGCACCATAGTTATTAATATCATACGATACACGATACATATCATATGAGACGATACGATATTAGTCAAAAATGATATGTATCGATAACTGTATCACATTTGATCAAGTGTTGAAAGCATATCATATGATACGTGATACATATTTTACGATGCAATTATATCGTATGATACAATTGATATGCTTTTTATAAGCTTAAATCTAACCAATTATTAAAAAATTATTTTTTTTAATTGAAACATGAAAAACAATTTTTAATGAGTTTCAATGTTTAAGATTCGGATTTACAAAAATATTTAAAAAAATCAAATTCCCCTTTTCAGTTCAACATGATAAGTGTTTTTTAATTTTTAATTAATAAATAAATACAAAAATACATATTTTATTCAAAAATATATATTTTTAAGGAATACGTTGAGAGTTTAAATTAGAAAATAATCATTTTTTCAATTTATACCCTGTAATATTCAATTCTATTAAAAAATATAATATGTTTAATTTTTTCTTTATATTACGTGTATAAACATTATTTCTAATAAATTTTAAAGTTATTTACTGTATCTTACAAAAGACTCAATAGTTGACACTCGATTTTAAAATGCAATATGTATTTCAATTTAACAACTATAATTTGCACGACACTAAGTTTTATTTAGTTATTTACTATATATTTTTTTTATTTTCTCGATTATAAGTGGTGCGGGTTTAATTTGAATGCTATGTCGGAATTTTTCCACTCCTGTCAAATGCCAAATGTGCTTTACAAAACTCTCAAGTCGTTCATTGTTAGGGAAGGCTATATCAAAGCGAAAGGGTTTCCAGATATTGCGTCTGCAATTTGTGCTTTTGGCACAAAAATGATGTGGTTTTGTGCTTTTGGCAATTTTATTTTTAATGATCCATACACCTCTCCCTTTATGACT